CATTTTTTATAAGTTGTGTTGCTGCAGTGATATCTGAGAGATGACACAGCCCTTGTCCCAGAGAACTCTTTTCCTCAAGAGCATCCTGTGCAATATTAATGCAGTGGGACGACTCGGGATGGAAATTCCTTTATCCTCATCCTTTTCATCTCCGCGTTTACGCACTTGAAACGCTGGAGTTATTAACTTTTCATGGCAGAACCGTGGGCACCACGGGTTTGTTTTATTTTTTTTTGAGGATGGGGGGATGCTGGCAGGCCTGAAGAGCAAGGGGAGGATGACACTGATGCTTTGTTCCCTTCTTGCCTTGCAGCCTCCCGGCGTTCCCGACTACCCCCCGGCGGATGGGTATGCATTCAGTAACACCATGTACAAGAGAGGGCCTCTGCTGGACCAGGGGGCAGCTGTGGCTGCCTTTAAGCAAACTGTTAGCCGACATGTAGATAGGTAACCCTGCCCTGCCAGCAGCCCTGGGGCTGTGGAAAACTGTCCCCACTTCTTGCTCTTGGGGTGGCGGGGTCTGTGACTGCCTCTGGTTGTGTGCTTGTCTCTGCTGGGGAAGGGGTTCTGTTCATTCTGCTTTTCCTTATCTAAAGTGTGTGGCATTAAGGCTCTTTTTTGTATGATTTCTATGAAATATCTTGTTTTATCTATGATGTTAAATTGCTGCTTTTGTCAGAAATGATACGGTGGAGTTCCAGTCCAATTGCACCTACTTCGGTTCAAATTTTATTTCCGATTTGTTTCACTTTAAATACACTCTTTGCTCTTTTCAGAATTACAAAGAATGACAAGTCTGCTCTGAGATTCACCTGTCCTCCTTTTGAGTAATTGTTTGATTTTCTTAGCTGCTCATTTAGTACTCTCTCATCTCCTGCTTTTTATTTTCTGGATTGGTGTCTAAATACCCACTTTCAGAACAGTGACACCTTTTCTCTTCCATCCTCTTTCAAATGCTACAGAAAATGCTCTGAAATAGCAAACAGTGTCTTTTTGCACATCCTCTTTCACCCCCTTCATTTTGTCCTAAAACTGAATAACTTGACAAGATGATATGCAGTGATCCTTGGCCTCGTCTCTGGGGGAATTTATACCAGCACAAACTGTGGAAGCAGATCAGTAAAGAAGCTCTGGAATTGCTCTCCTGTACCTAACCATATTCCATATATGCTATATGAAAAGTATTTTGTCTTATGAGCCATGGAAGACGTTTAAGCTAAGTTTTGAGGATCAATCTGCTGATTAAAGCAACTTCCATATAATTCTTTTGATGAAAACCCTTTCAGAATCCCAAGTTTTGAGCCATGTGCTAAAAGATCCTGGTGTTAATCTGCATGCAAACCAATTCCCATGTGGTGTGCAGGTTGAAGACACAAATTATTTTCCTGAACTTTAGATTTAATCTTCATGGCAACAGCAGCAGAGGAGTCATCTCCTAATTGCTTCCTCAGACTTGATTGCCTGGTGCATTCAATGGTCTTGGGACCATTTATCTTGAAATCTAGATGATCTGCACTCTAAATTCCTTTCCCTTACTTGTAATGTGGTAAGACCTGTTTTGTCCTTTCAGAGTAAGAATATTCCATACAAAGGGGTTTTTTTTGCCTTCAGTTTTAGAGGGAGAGTCACAGCATTGAACTGTTGATGATATCAGGGGGTCTGTCTGGAACTGAAAGAGTTACCCAAGCCTCCTTTGTGGCTGGTAAAGAGAACTGGGTGTTTCTAAGAAACAGTTTATGAAAGGTGAAATTAGTCTTTGGAAAGCTGTGGAGTGTGACCTGCTGTAGTGGTGCCTGTTTCCCACTGCTGATATAAAACATTCTTCCCTTGGGTGATGCAGATAAAGTGTCAGAATCGTAGACTTTCAGTGGGCATGAGGTATTTCAGGAAGTCTGATGCTGAAGAATTTTCAGCAGGTTTTGTTCTGTTTCAAAGGAACTGTTTTGTGCTGTGTAGTTTGGTTTTCACTATCATTTGATGAAAAGCTCTCTGAAAGTCTGTGCAACTCTCTAGTGTCTTGATTAGTGTACAGTGAAGAGCTGAGGTCTGAAATTCTGGTGTATCTGATATAGGCAGTAAGAAACACAGTGGAGGATGGATGGAGGGAAATGATCAGAATATTTGTGCCCACAGTAAACTGGCTCATTAGGCTGGGCTTGAAGAATGGGGTCCCTTCAGAAAAATTCATCCATTGTCTGGCCCATGTTCTGGGCACGTTGCTGAGTCAAGTAAAACTTAAATGTAGACATTTAAAAAAATTTTTCCCGAGTTATATTTTTTGAAGGAATCAGGATAGTTAGGTGTGGGCAAAATAGGAAGACACAGTTACTGAAATGATTTTGGAAGGGCTGCTTAAAAGTAAAAGTGCTGTCAGAGCTACATTAGTCATATCTCTGGGATAGTAAGAAAGAAAATCAAAATTATATGAATTTTAGTGGGGTAGCAGGAAATATTGGTATTACTCACACATTGTTCAGCCTTGTAACATCTATTCTGCAGGCTGGGGGTCATCCCCTGCTTTTCACTCTCTCCTTAAATACTGTTAGTGTTTTGTCTTTCTTTCCAAATAATCTTTCAATCTAAATATGATTTTCCTTGGTTCTGCTCTTCAAGTCAAGTGAGACACTTCTCCACAGCCATGCAACAGCCAGGCAGCTGCTGGATTGCTGAGGCACACCTGGAACCCAGAATTACACAGCAGCAGCAGCAGCAACCACCTGTGTTCATATCCCAGGGCTGGCACCTTGTAGCCTGCATTTCAATGCATGCATTGCTTCATGTTTTATTTAGCTGTTTACATTTATTTATTTATTTATGTTTATGTTTCATATTTATTTATGTTCATTTATTTATTTGTTCGTGTAGGTGGGGGTTTTTTGTTTGTTTGTTTGGTTTCTTTACTGTCTGGTATGGGTCTATGTTGTAGGGTGTGATTTGCAATAAGTGTATAAAGTTGCTTTTAGAGGGGAAGAGAGACTTTCTCAATTGAAAAATGTTATATCAAAGAAAGTAGCAGCTCTTTAACCAAAGGCATTCTGGACAGCTCGTTCCTCATTGAAACAGAAAGGTTCAGAGCTTACTGAGATATGCCTTGTTCTACAATGAATCCTGTGTGTAACTGGCAAGAAGTTATTTCTCAATCTTAATTGATAAAGTAACTTGAAGTTGTTAAAGTCGATGGCATCTTATGGTCAATTAAGAAAACCGATCTACAATAGGTGAACATTTTTTAGAGTTTAACTCCATTAGTATTGATGGCAAAAATTTATTCATCTATTATGTATTTGAAACAATCTGTGATGAACACTTGAAGTACAATTTCATACAAAGCCCAAGCTATCAATTATATCCTAATTATAGTCCTTTGTTTATATGGCAAATGACTGTTTAACCTTCTGTAGGAAAAGTAACTAAATATAGAGTACAAGTTTATTTTGAAACAATAGCACCTGCTAATCTCGGTTCTTATCATACATCTTGCCAGCAGCAAGCTTGCAAGCTTAGCAAGATTAGCAGATCTTGAGGTCTGTATATTTCAGCCACCTCTTTATTTTGTTTTATTTGTACTTTTTTTGGCACTTCAATCAGTGGATTACGAATGGGCAGTTCTACAGCAGCGTCATATTATGGTTGAGAGGTTTTCACTTGAAAAAATATTTTGCAGGTTATTCAAAGAGGACATTTTGTGGTTTTAATTGCTTGACTGTCTCACTGAACGATAGCGTGGTGTTTGCTTTGCAGAAACTATGAAGCACACAATAAAACACAGGGCAAGAAATATGCCAAATGCAAGTATGAATTCGTGGCAAGAAACAACAGTGAGCTTTCTGTCCTGAAAGAAGAGATTGTGGAGGTAATTCTGTTTGCAAAGACAACACACAAATTGCTGGTGCTGCTCAAAGCTGAGGGTACCTTTCCTGTGGACAGTGTGGCTTTCCTTAATGTTTGCTTCAATTTCTGTGTTTGACTTGTCTGCCTTGGTATGGAAAGCTCAGTTAATTTGTTTTGCATCACTTTTGCTGATTTAGGAAGGGTGCTGTAGAAATCCGTGCTCGAAATACATTTGTGTGTTCCTTCCACCTTCTCTAGCGTTGCTTTTAAATATTAAGTAGTGTTTAAATAACTATCTGTGTACACATAGGGTACAGGGAAGGACTGTTCTGTCCAGGAGGATGTGGCACCATAAAAGTGAGATACATTTGGAAGGGAGGGAGCGACAAAGGGAGGAAATGCTGAGTATGAGAATGTGGGGCAGTCTGACTGCTCCTGGCCATCCTGCTCCCATTCCCTGGTTTCTAAAAAGTGTTGTGTCCCCAAATCCGTGCTCCCCCAGAGCTGCCTTTATTTGGGATATTAGTAATTATTTATTCCTTTTGTCAGTAGCATGTGGGTTGTAGAGATGGCAGCATCTCTGGGCAAGAATTTGATTTTTGTTCCACTGCACCTCCCTGAGTTTTACAGAACTTCATTACACACTTGTATATTCTTTCTTGAGAGACCCATTTTGCCAAGTGCAGTAGAACCATGTGGAATTAATGATGGTGAGAATCAGGGAAGGTACAGGGGTTTCTCAGGGACACATCTGTTGGCAGATGCAGAACCTGGCAAAGCTGTGGCTTTGTTCTGAAATGATTCAAAGCACTGGCAGGAGGAAAGTCAGAAAAGGTATGTAATTAATTTGTTTGGTTTGTTGGGTTTTTTTGGTTTTCTTTTTCAGATTCTGGATGACAGAAAGCAGTGGTGGAAGGTTCAGAACAAAAGTGGCAGCACAGGCTTTGTGCCAAACAACATTTTGGACCCTCTGAGGAGCACAGAAGGAGGTCAGGGATGGCCAGAGCCTGCCTACACCCGCACCATCCAGGTACTGCCCATCCCGGGAGCAAAACCTCCTTTGGAAGGGTCGGGGTGTGCTTGAGGAGAAGGGACACAGCCACAGCTGGAACAGCTGGAACAGCTCTGTGCCCCTCTGGTATAGCACAAATCATTCACATTTCTTCTGGAGGCTGATTTTCTGTACCTCACAGAGAATAGAGTTGATAGAGATGCAGCAAAATGTTTGACCTCTTTTTTTTTTTATTTAACCTGCTTATTTGCTTAGAAGTGGTAACTTCAGTCCTAATGGATGTGCATGCATTTATTTTAATTGCAAAAATCCTTTGTGAATTGATAGCTGTTGATGCCAAAGAAGGAGTTTGAATTATTTAAGGTAGGGTCATCTTTGTTTTTCCTAGAAGAGTGAACTCCAGCTTTCCCTTTTATTTTCTGTCTTTGTGTGTCTCTATCCCAGTCATGAATTTATTTGATTATTGTAATTTTGGAGTCATAAAAAGGAGGTCTATTTGCTTTTGAATTCAAAAAAGCAGGTATTTTTCAATCTGTTATCCTCACCTAATTTTAATTTTCTTTCTTTCATGTAGTGGTGTGGAACTAATATTTTTGTTGTTGTTATTTCTTTTATATGTGGAATAGAATTACAGGGTAAATTACTTAAAAAAAATTCTTGCATCAGCACAATTATCCACCCAAGTAAGGATACACAGGATAAAGTTGCAATATGCACTTTCAGACAAAATTTTAAGGGGGTTAGAGGCTGTTAAAATAAGAAGTTGTATTTTGTAAGACCTCTTTGTGTCCTCTTTTTTCCTAATGATATTGAAAGTTAAGGCAAACAAGTTTGGATTAAGCAGAAATTCCAGGCCTGCCTCTAAATCAGACTTTTAAACCAAACTTCTGTTGAAGCTTGAAATTTAACAATTTAATCTAACCTAATATTCATTCATTGTGTCTGCACCTTCCAGCTGATGACTGAAAACCAAGAAATGCCACAATGTTTTACAAAATAATGCAGTGAACCTGCCTTGGCCTTGGTGGGCTTGAATCAGACAATTTCTGAGCTGTCCTGTCCCAAATTGTTTGCCTGTAACATCTTGCCTCATTCTGCATTGGTTGTGGATTTGCCTGTCTGAAGTGAAGCATGCATCCAGAGTGCTTTTCAAATCCTGATTTAAAGATCTGGTTTGGTTTTTTTTCCCCTCCCTGTGCATGTTATTTTGTGTGTTTGAAATTTGCCACCGAGTCCTGAGCAGGCTGAGCACGGTTTCAGTGGAGATTCTCACACAATTCTTCTGTCATGAACTGCAGGCTTTGAGGTTTTCTGTTTGAAACAATGGCAAGACATGGCATATAATAAAATAATCATTTCCACGAAGCATTCTCCATGGACCTATGAAAATTAGGGTCAGGGGACACCGTTTAAGATAAGTTTGTTACTTTGCCCTCTGGCAGGTTATTCTGCAGCTTGATCATATTCAAATGGGAGCTTGAAACACTGTGAAATTATTTATGAATATAATGAATTGCACAGGATAAATGAAGCCTTTACCAAGACATGTCAGTAATGTTGTTTTAACTTCGTGGTGATTATTATAATTTTAGTACTCCTGAGCATTCTCATTTGTCAGTTTTCCTGTGATGGACTTAAACTGGGAAGTGTTTGCATAACTCCATTTATTTTCACAAATCACTATGAGACATTGCTGCTATTTCAGAGAGAACTCGTGCTTGAAGGGATGAATGTCTTGCCCAAAATCAGACAGGAGAACCTGTGGGTAGAGCAGTGTTGGATCCCAGAAATCTGGGTTTTTTTAAGCTTTCTGTGCTGTCAGGCACTGTCCCCCAGGAGAACACTGCTTCTGACCTGAGGCCCTGGAGAAAGCTTCCAAATTTGGGTGATGGAGTTAAAATCATGGGTGTGTAGATAAACAGAAATGTGTGATTTCATATGGTGAAGGGTTTTAAATTTAAGGTTTTTATAGTATAGTAATAGGGATGGGACAAGAGGAGGATTTTGGATGGTGTCTCTTTTTGATGTTCATCTTCCTTCTTCTTCAGGATTTCATGCAGTAGTTTCTGGCTGGATGGTTAGTGCTGCACTGCAGGTCACAGGAGTTTGGTTATTGGGTCAAAAGTATCAATAATATAGGTGTTAGTTCTTTACTGGACTGTTTAGCTTTAAAAGACCTTGTAACCAGCTGGATTCAGCTCCATTTTACTCACTTTTAGCTGGAAGTGTTGCAGAACTCTCCGTACTTTAGATAAAATTTAATAAACAACCAAGCCCAAACACGAGAAAATTCATTTCCTCCATGTTTTTTAATCCTGGCTCTGAGTACAGACAGAAGAAACTTCAGACAAAGCATGAATTAAGAGGTGCAAACACCACCCATCACAGAGCAGGCAGTGGAAGTGGTTCCTATCAGAGCCTGAACAGGAGCAGGCTCAGAGCCTGGGGCTGGGCAGCCTTTGCTGCTCTCCCAAGTCATCCTCAGCTTTCAAAAATCTGCTTTCAAAGAACTGCTTTCACAAAACTGCTTTCAAAAAACTGCTTTCAAAAATCTGCTTTCAAAAAAGTGGCCTGGCTGCTGTGGCCACCTGCAGACAAGTTTTATGTGCAAGGGCAGTGTCTTCCTTGGCAGGCTAATAACCCTCAGTGCCCTGCTCACCAAAGGGTGTTTTTAGATTATTAGGAAGAATTAAGGATTCCATTGAAAGAGAGGATTTTTTTCACTTGATTGTGCTCCAGACACTCCTTCTCTGAGAGATGGATTCCTCACCATCACAGTTATTCTCAGAGCTGCAAAGTTGATTTTGCCCTCACTCTGTTCCCCTGCCTATTGACCTCTAAGGCCACAAATTAATTTAAATCCTGATTTTTCACTCAGGTGCTTTCAGGATCCAGGTCCCAAATAGTCACTTGAAAGCACTGAGGTGACATTTGCAGGACATTGCCAGCAGCAGCCCAGTTATTTAATTATCTTTGTGAGTCAGAGGCTGGAACATTGTTTGTTTTCTGGTCAGCTGAATTAGTTCCAGGAAACAGTATTTTTGCTTGTTTAGTTCTCTCTTTCTTTTAGGAGAGCATTTTGCTGAATTCTTCTATTGTTTATCAAAGTTTTCTGGGGTGTTGGTCATTTAATCTGTTTTTCTTTTATTGTGAGCCAGCACTTGTATTTCACCATCCTATTATATATGAACATAAAGAGTTTCCCAAGAACTTTGATTTCTTAATTTGTAAAAGTGTTGCTGGTGAACCTGTGAAACAATTCATCATAGCATTTCCTATTTTCTGTGCCTTTTATTATCTTTGTTTTAACGCTCTTGAAAATGAAATTTGAAGAACATAATTAGGATAGAACTGTGTATCTTGGTGGGCATGCTAATTAATCTCCTGACACCCTTTTTGAAGTGAGACTGTTATATTATCAGTGATGTGTACAAACTCCTTAGGCAGAGAGTAAATGTTTAATAAAGTGCAGTTTGTCCATATTTTCTTTCTTTTTTTTTAGAAATGGGGGTTAATCCTAGCTAATAACAATTTGAATGAGTAAACTCTGCCTAAATTTCCTGTAAATTCAGTAAAACCACAAAGAGCTGCTTAGGTGGTTTTTAATGGGATTTTAGTAGGCAAATATTTGCATAATAGCTGAACCCACCAAAATAAGCTTTGGCAAAAAAAAAACCCTGCTTGAAATTTTCCAGTCTCGGGTACCTCCTTGGCCCTTTTGGCTGAAGATGAGTGGTTGGTTCTCTCTTGTCCCTTCAATGGAGTCCCAGGAAAAGATCCAAAATCACAGTGCCATTGACAAAGCTGAGGCTGAATGCTCTGGTGGCCTCCTGGTGGACTCTGTGCAAACAGGAATGTGGCACTGAAATGTTCAGGAAGAGAGGGAACTGAAAGCTCTGTGTCTGTGTTAACTTAATGAGAACATTTCCCAGCACTAACACTGGTTTGGGTTCTTTTTGATGCCTCTTCATCTGTTTTTCCCAGAGTTTGAATATGTATATTTCCTTTTCTTAATGCCAAAATAGATTTGAAAATATATTGTTCCCACTCTTTTGCACTGATCAAGAATTAGGGTTGGTACCATTAGGATTTTTATTTTGCTTCCATTAAAAATAGATTGAATCATACTGAATCTTGTTTTTTCACCAGATGCAGCCTGTAGTGTGTTGAAAACAGCTTTGTGACTTAATTTTTTTCCTGTAAAAACAGTGATTTTTCTGGCAAGACAGAAGAAAACAAAGTTTAGTCCCAGTAAGCTTTTATGATATATCCAGGTTTTTAGTGAGTGTATGTGTGCATCATCACCCTTCCAAACAATTTAAAGCACTTGTTCCAATTTACTTCAATTGAGGAGTGCAAGTTAATTCTTAAAAGAAATAAAAATATGAGGAAGAAAGAAGGAAAAATAAGCCCCAGAATTGTTGCTAGTTCTTTTTGCTGTGAGGAAATCAGTGAGTAGCTGGCCAGCAGGCTGTCCAGGGAGAGGGACTTGTACAAGAGCATGGAGTGACAGAGCAGGGGGTAATGGATTTAATCTTAAAGAGGTTGGGTTTAGGTTGGATATTAGGAATAAATTCTTCACGCTGTGGATGGCCCATCCCTGGCAGTGTCCCAGGCCAGGCTGGATGAGTGTTTGGGCAATCTGGGACAGTGGGAGGTGTCCCTGCCCATGGCAGGGGTGTTGGGATGAGATGGAACCATCAGGTCCCTCCCAACCCAAATCCTTCTGTGAGTCCATAACTCAACCTTCATCTCATTTGCTGAGCCAGCCAGCATTTCTTGAGCTACAACAAATAAACATTTTTAATACCTGCTGTGACTTAACTCTTATTGTTCTACAGCTGCAAGGGTTCTTTCCGTGCCCCTGATGATCTTTAAGCCTTTGGCAGTCTTTCCCTTGGGGTTTGTTTGCTGTTAAACCTGTTCCTAAGTTTCTGTCTGTCAGCTTTGAAAAGAGCTGATTGCTTATATGGCATCACATGTGTGTGTTATGTAGCCTGCACTCTGTTCCCTATTCAAAATAAGAATATTAGAATAAATCACTATTAGTTTGCTAGTGAGTAAGAAGAGGTAATTACTAAGACTGATATTTCTTTAGTTTAAATTGCTAATGTGTATGAAATTTCAGGAGTGATGTGTGAGACAGTTACTTTTTACCTTTCTAACAATGCTGTTTGATGTGATTTGCTCCATTTTCCTCACAGCAATTACTGGGAGAGCTTTCAGAGGTAACTGAATTACTCTTCTGATATTGAATCTCAAAAATTCCTCTTTTGGACTATGTAGTCACCAAATTCCATAGTGCATGCTTGGTTCTTTTTATAGCAATGAATAGAAGTGATGGGATGATTGTGTGGATGTCCTCAAAAGATCTGGAGTTTAAAAAAGAAGCATTAAAAAAAGAAATGCTAAATGGGATCCAAATATATAATTGGTTTTTGGGCACTGTTCAGCAAAATGCAAAGTGTATTTTAATGTGGTTGCATTTGTAAATTTAGAGTTTGAGTGATGCTTCCAGATTATTTTTTGTTTTCACTGCAGCAAGTTGTTTTGATGAGGTTTATGACTGCAGTACAACATGTTTTTGCAGCTCCTCCAGTAACATCCATTCAAAGCTACATGTAGTTTTTAGCTTTCTCTTTTTCTGGATTATGATTGTGGCAGTGTGCAGTGGATGCCTTGGTTTCTAACAAATCCTCTCTATCATAAAAAAGTTCTACTTTTTCTTTGTGTTTTTTTTAAGAAGGTCAAAGCACACATGAAGGAGGTACATTGTGGGATAACAGTCTAGTAATTGGAATCTGTGAACAGGATAAAAGGATGTGAAATCATTGGAACCTTTAAGTAGATGTGAAATTTTAACAATTTCACAAGACTTTGAGTCTATCACAGAACATCTATATAAAACAAATTATGGAATATTTGCTATACAGCTAGTGAGGCACTCTCTTTCCACCAAAGGGCAAATTTCATAAATATATTTATTCTGCTTGTCCACTTTTATATATAATGATTTTCCTTGTCATTTGACAATTAAAAAAAGCATTTATTTTCTTAACATTGAAGCAGTAGAATACGGAAAAGTCAGTCATAATTACTTTTTTAATCTCCTCACATTGCACAAAGTAGTTAAGATGGATGCCTTTGAACAACAAAATGTTGAGATAAAAACAAATGAAGAAACAAAAACGTTTAATGGGAAATATTTTGCAGGGGTACATGTTTGATTTAGTAACTGACTATTGTGGTTTAAGTGAAAAATCATCCAAGGGAAGTAAGAGTCATTTCTCAGGCTTAATTGCTTGGCCAGAGAAGCCAAGGGAATAAATTTTCTGCTGGTTTAAATCAGTATTTCTGTAATGGTTTATACTCACTGCTAAATGCCTTGTCCATCAGCTGGACTTCCCTGAGCTCTACAAAGGCATTGCTGACATTTAAGGAAAGTTGGATTGTTGTCAGGGCAGTGATCTGCTGCTCAAATTCTAACATAGGGCTCCTACAAATATTTCCCTACTTGATCCTCTGTAAAACCCTCTGCCTCCAAGGAAATGGGGAAAGGTATTTGAGGAAGGAGCAATGAATCTGAGGAATGCATTCATCTCCCTTCATAGCAAAGTAAGCAGACTGCTCATAACTACGAGATGAGGCATCCCTATTGAGCAAACAAACTTTAATATTGAACCCTCAGGCTGTGTTAGTCCAAAATTGTGGAGAGGGAACACTGTTAAACAGAGATGTGGAGTCTGAACTGCTTGACAGAAAGGGGTAGCATAGCTTATGGGTTTGTGTGTCTTTATGATTGCTCTGGGAAAATACAGGTGTTCTTCTGAAACTGGTGCCATTCTTACAGACAAAGAAGAAATTACTTCCCAAAGTAATTCTTGAGACACTGGCTAGTTAGTTCTTAGCAGCAAGATAACTTACATGTTGTTAAAACATTGCACAAAGCGAGGGAGAAATAAAGAACAGCCCTATTCCAAGAACTGTGAAATCTGGGGCTTGGCTTCTCATCAGATTATTGCCTTAAAATGGCTTGTAGTAGTCAATAGCTGAAAAGGCACAGATGAATGGGTGGGAAGAGCTGGAACCTCTTAAATGCTGTCTGCAGTTCAAGAAGCAATGTATAATTCTATCCTCAGTGACATTTAGAAGTTAAAACCCTAGTTGAGTTTAGGTGTGGCTGGATGTGTACATTTTTCAGGGTTTTTAAAAATAATATACATTTTTATACTGATAAAGTTCAACAAGCCAACAATTTTGAAAGCTGTTTAAAAGTGTGAGGTAATAGAAGGTAGGGATTTAAAAACAACCTCATTTATGGAATTAATATTCTTGAAAGAAAGAAATGAGTTTCAGATGATTTCATAGCTGTGAGTGGGGCAGAGAAGGAAATTGATGCCAAACACCAGATCACTGGCCAATGCCAGTTGATGCCAGGTCAACTTTTGGCAAATTTTGGAGCTGTATCTGGCACGTGAGATGTCTTTTTAAAGCGAGTTAAAGCACAGCACCAGACACGGGGCACCATTGGTGAGGTTAGTTTTCTGAGTGCTTTTAGGCACCCAACTTGTTGGGTTGGTTTTTTTAATGAGCCAAGCAGCTAATAGTTGCTATAAAGTTGTTTGTTGCAGAAGCACATCAGTCTCAAAAGCAAAAGCAAAGCAAAGCAATGGCAAAAGCAAAAGGCAATGGCAAAATGCAATGGCAAAAGCACCAGCTCTCCCTAATGCATGTTCTTATATAGAAACTTCTTAATAAGCTAAGTCACAAACTCTGATCACTGCTTCTTAACCTTTTAGAATTCTAGTTTCTTATTCTTATTCTGGTTTCTTAGCACGCCAGGCTTTGTATAAACTACGTACATGGTCTGTTTTGTTCTAACTGAAAAATGTAAGCAATATTCTTACTGTAGCTTTATTATGTCTAAAACTATGTTCTTGGAGCCTCCACAGAACTCCTAGTATCTAAGACTATGTTTTCTGACTTTTACTAAAGTTCTACACTGGTATCTAAAACCTTTACTTATAAAAAGCACTTAAAACTCATTTTACTTGCTTATTCTAAAACTTAAACTTATACCTCTACCTTTTGCGTGAGTACCTTAACATACTTTAATTCATCCAAAGGCTGTGATTCCACCCTTGTACTCAAACCCCTCTCAGAACAATTCAGAGGAAGTGCTGCCTTACTCCCTCCAGCCGCTTTGACTGACGTGTCACCCGAATTTTGTCGCCTGACCCGTTTCAGAAACAAAGGACGGACTACGCGGCGAAACAGCCGGACGCGGTGCCCGCCACGCCGTCGCCGCCCCCCACGCCAGCCCCGGTGCCCGTGGCCGTGCCCCTGCCCCCCAGTGCCCCTGCTCCCATCCCAGTGCCCGTGCCCAAGGCTCCGGCCACCGTCAGCCGCCAGAGCAGCACCTCCAGCGACAGCGGCAGCGGCGTGGCCCGAGACTCCCAGCGGCAGAAGCAGATCCCTGTCGATCGTAAGTTGGCCCTAAGAGCCAAGGCAAAAGTTTTTCCCCGCGTTCCTGTGTGTCTGGAGTAGCCCTGAAGTTCCTCGAAGTTGTGTTTCGGATGAATCTTCATGGGAAAATTTGGTGTTAACGTCATGTTCAAAGGACGGGTTTGTTATGGATGTGTTATGACCCTCGTTATAATTACTGTAAAGGTAATTAGGGAAAAACACTTACACTTGCACCATCCTAAATCACAGGGTCACTGGGTTGGGAAGAGACCTTTAAGATCGTGGAGTCCAACCCATGCCCTAATGATGCCTTTAGTTTGAAGTTTTTCTGTTCTCCTTGGATGTGCTTTTCTGATGTGCTGGGGTGATGAACACAAACCAGTCCTGTTCTAGTTCAGAACTCAAGGACAGTTTCTCCAAACTTCAGGCCCTGAGCACAAACTCCGTGGAAAGGTGGAGGGTGGGTTCATGCAAATTAACCAGAACCTATAAAAGTGTGAGATTTTGTGACCAACCCCTTCCTTTCCTTCCATCTTGGAGCCATCCAGGCAGGGGCCACCACTGTGGCACTGCTATTGCTGGGGTGTGGCTTTTGTAGACCTCACAATAAATACCCATTTTATTCTCCTTAACTCTGTGTGCAGCCTCTGCTCCAGCTCCTCAAGGCATCACTAACACCTCAACTAGACCATGGCACTGAGTGCCACATCCAGTCTGTTTTTAAACACACCCAGGGATGGTGACTCCACCACCTCCCTGGGCAGACCATTCCAGTACTTGATCAGTCTCTTCATGTAAAAATTTTTTTTCTGACATCTAACCTAAATTCCCATGTCTGAGATCTCTAGTCAGTGTTTTTTAACACTGGAAATGCCTATGCTGATATGCTGGCTAATGCACATTTTTCACCTGAAATTGTCCTAATACAACCTAAAATTGCTTTTAAAATCAGTTGTGTTGTTCTCATACCTCAGTTCATGATCATCCATTATTCCTGGGTCGTTTGCACCATTCTGAAACACCTATTCAGGGCTCCAAGAGCACGTGCAGCTCTGGCTGATGCACAGGACCCCTGTTGTAACAGTTTTGTAGTTATTTGGCATAGTCAGAAGCAACTGTCAGGCCATGGAGCAGACTTTGGTGTCCTTGTCCCAGGAGGATACAGGAACATATCCCATACCTCTGGAGCTGGAAAAACTTGGTAATGTGCATTCCAACAGTTTGGGGATGTTGAGAAGCTCTGATTAAGGCACTTTGTAAATATGCCAATTGAGGCATGCTGAGGCTGCTGCTCTGAATTGACTGAAAAGCAGGTAGGGTTAGAAAAGCTTCTTTAGTCAGTAATTTCTGTCCTAAATGCACTTTAGGCAATGTGATTGCTGGGCTTAGAAATAACTGAAACACTCAGGCAAGCATTTGCTACAGCTTTTAAAGTAATAGCTGTAAAAATAATGAGCTTTTTGTAATTCAAGAGTTGACAGCTTTTCATATCTTTTGCCTCACTGCCTTACCAGCAAATCCTGCTTCCACCTCAGGTCAGAGACTGGCAGTGAGCATAATCCTTTGTGGGGAAGGGAAGGGCTCCTTTGGCCCCTGTCCCCAGTGGATGGGAAGTGTGTGTGTGGATAATCCTGTTGGTGGAGCCTGTGGTGACATTGCCTGGTGGAGGACAAGCTCCTGCCTGAGCTCTGAACTCAGGAAGGCTCTGGGAACTTTTCTCTATAATCACCTAATGGGACTGCCTGGCTGGAAATTATAACTGAGGAACAGCCTGGTTGGAGGAACAGGGTTCACTGCTGCTTCCCCAAGGAGGGGTTTGTTCCTTAAATAGATAAATAGTCACAAAAGGAAAGTGAGGGTGAATTTCCTGCACACACATGCACAAAAATGCATTATTATTTTATTATTATTTCTGTGGAAGGACTTTGCTATAGCATGGCTGTGTCCTTGAATCCACGATGGCCTTCTCTATTCATTCTAGATGGAAAATGAGAAAAACCATCCTGGCTTGAGGCACAGGGTGTGTGTGAGGTGTGCAGAGTTACTCTAGAGGCTGTGGCTCACACACAGGAGATCCTGTTCCCTCCTGGAACTCTACTCAAGCCCTGTTAATGAGCTTCAGGCACCACAAAACCCTCACAGAATGGGTGTCCCTGCAGAGGTGATGGGAAACCTGCTGGCCAAGCACCCACCTGAGCCCTGCAGAGAACTCTGCAGAACCTACCCCACGCCCAGGGCATCCTGTTTATTTCTGATAATGCATCTTACAACGGCAAGAATCTCTTATCTAACAGCTAAATATTTGTCTCTTGATACAGTCACGGTCAAGATTAAGCATAAGTCTTTCAAAATCTGTGTAAATAGAAGGAAGATAGCAATGTTCTGTGTCCCTTCCTGCTTGGGAAAATAGCACTTGATAACATTGCCTGAAGGTTTTCCTTTTATAACCCCTGTGAGATCTGCACAAATCACTGAGCTCCTGTCACTGGGCTTCTGATTCACCCTCGGGCTGGGGGAGAGGAGAAAACCCTGCACAAAAACCCTGCACCACAATTGGGGTCTGAATGCCTCAAATATCATGGTAGAGATACTTTTTTCACTTTCAACCTGAGGCTGTTTAATAAAGGAAAAAAAAGGAAATGGTTGAACCAACGTTTTATTCGTTTTGCTGTGGTGATTAAAGAAATCATCCTGGAGGCCAATGTAAAGCTTGTTTTTATTTGTTTAACTGGCTAGAGATATTGATCCCTGGAGAGGTTTTGAGAGAATATAAAAGGAGAGCAGAGAAAGCAAAAATGTTTCTATCTTGAACTTTTTTTTTTCATACTGAAATTGTGTTGTTTTCATCTGTTCCCATGAGTGTAATGGGAGAGAAGGAAATAGGTTTTGCCATCTGAGTGCACTGAGAGGGTGCTGTAGTTACTGTCTGTGTATCCAAGTGAGAAGGTTGAATAAAGATCACTAAAAATATCTTGGCAAGGAAACCCTGAGAATTTTTGAGATAATTTAAGATGTTTATCAGAGGATTTTTATAGTTGTTCCAATGTTATGGCACAGAGAGTTTAACTGTGCAAAATCAGTATTTCTCTGAGCTCAAAAGGTTATTTACGCCTTATTGAATTTTACCTATTTTTGTGAAGATATCCATAGAAATTTTTATAGAAATTTTAAACAATTCTCACTGTCATTATGATTAATCTTGTTGAAATGACTGAAAAGCATTTCAGTTTGTTGCCTGCTAATGAACAGCAACTGAACTAAATGTTTCAGGCAAATGGGTTCTGGGGAATAATGCATTCTTGCAGTTTTGTTTAAAATGAATAAATAAATAAACAAATCTTGCCCAATTTTTGAGCCTCTGGTGAGAGCAGCTACCTTTTTTTTTTTTTTTTTTTTTTTAATTATTTTTTTTAATGCAAAGTGTGACAATGATTCTGCTAAGCAGCCACTCCAGGCTTGGAGTGAATTCAAATTTCTCAAAACCCTGTCAAAAATGCAATTGCTACAATAGCTCATTAGATGGAAGTTGATATGTGTCAGCAGCTGTGGAATTTTTGTGCCTATGCTGATTTGCACTAAAAACTTTAGCTTTCAACTAAAAACTGTTTGTGGAAAGTTCTACCTTCCCACAGTGTGAGCAATCTTGCAACCTTCCTCATCTTTTTCATGTTTTAATTTTTAAACCCTCAGTTCTGTTTGAGCAAAAAGGCAGACTGTGACAATTGAATAACCCTCCATTCCCATTTTTTATTACAGCTTGGGTGCTGTCACACTGCTCTGTGCCTCTCTGTGCTCATCCCTCCTTTCTGGGGTCTTAGTTGAATTCTAAGTCTGGGGGGTTTTTGTTTGTTTATTTTTGCTTTGTTTTGCAAAGAGAGGATTGGGAATATTGAAATATTCGCTGGGGGAAAAGGAGAGTAATAATTCAATCAGATCTAATGAATGAATATTTAAGGGAAAAATAACTTTAAGATTTAAAGTGATACACTAGAAATGACTTGGCTTTGCTGAAGCAGCATAGAGAATAAGTGCTGTGACATTTCTGTTGTCCCCAGGCAGGAAATCCCAGATGGAGGAGGTGCAGGATGAGCTGGTTCACCGGCTCACCATCGGCAGGAGCGCTGCCCAGAGGAAATTCCACGTGCCCCGGCCAAACATCCCCGTGGTGAACATCACCTACGACTCCTCCCCCGAGGATGTGAAAGCCTGGCTGCAGTCCAAGGGCTTCAACCCTGTGTGAGTTCCGGGGCAAATGCAGCAAAACTGCACCACGTTGTTTTTCTGCCAGGGAGTAAAATGTGGTGTGACTGCTTTCTGAAATCAGGCAGCCTCCTGAAAATCAAGAGATGCCAGCAGCACTCTTTGAAAAATTAATATATTAATATATTTGCATATTTTTATATTTATTTCTATATTTATTTTATATTATTATTATGTCTATATTTCTATAGTCATATATTTTTATATTTATTTATATATTTTTATATATTTCTATTTTTATATTTCTATATTGATATATTTCTATATTAATATATTAGTATATTAACATATTTTTATATTTATTTCTATATTTCTATTTTAATATATTTTTATATTTTTATATTTTTATATATTTCTATTTATATATTTCTATATTTATACATTTATATATTCATATTTTAATATATTTATATTTATATTTATATTTATATTTATATTTATATTTATATTTGTGTGTAAGTGTACCTGATACACATAAAAATATAGGTCAGTGTGGTTATACATCTACAGAATCTATTTAAATTATATATATATATTTCATATATAAAGATTATAGATATTTGTATATATATTATAGATTTTATATATAGATAGATTTTGTATATTTTCTATCTATAGAGTCTATATATAGGATATCAATATAGTATATATATATGTTTTAGCCTCTACCAAAAAGTGTATACCCAATTATTTACCCAATTGACTTCAGCAGTCCTGCAGCATGAAGTTACAGATCTACAGAATTTATATCTATTTTATATAGATAGATTCTATCTATAGGATATCAATATAGTATATATATATATATATATATTTTAACCTCTACCAAAAATTGTGTTTATATACCCAATTGACTTCAGTAGTCCTGCTGCATGAAGTTACAGATCTACAGAATTTATATCTATTTTATATAGATAGATTCTATCTATAGGATATCAATATAGTATATATATATATATTTTAGCCTCTCCCAAAAGTTGTGTTTATATACCCAATTGACTTCAGTAGTCGTGCAGCACGAAGTTTGTTCTGAATTCAGCAGCTCCAGCCAAGGCAAGGTGGGATGAAGTCAGCCCATTTGACTCCCTTGGCCAGAGTGGTTTTTCTCATTGCCTGTTTGTCCCCTTGGTGTGTCCCCAGGACTGTGAACAGCCTCGGGGTGCTGACAGGGGCTCAGCTTTTCTCCCTCAATAAAGAGGAACTGAGGACTGTTTGCCCAGAAGGGTCAAGAGTCTACATCCAAATCACGGTACAGAAATCTGCCTTGGAGGTATGGACAGCTCTTCTCACTCACCTAACGTGGGTCAGCAATTCTGAACCTGTAGAATTAAATAATTCCTCCTGTGGTTTTTCCTCAATTCCCATCACACTGATAAACATTCTTTTTATTTGATATTAATTCATTGGAACAGCATTCATCAAAACACCAGGTGAGATCTTCCCCACTTCTAAAGATGTCCAAAATCATGAGACATAGCACTCAAGTTTAAGGTGTTTTGAGGTGTAACCAGACTGCAAGAAGATAAAATCAGCCAAAAAGAGCTTTGGGGAAAACAATGGGAGGGTAAAATTCCCTTTTTCTTGCTTCTTGCTTTGCCTGGTGCTTGGACAAATGCATACTCCTGACAATTTTGGTGGTGATAAGTGAGTTTTGCTTTATCTTTGTAGAGGACATTTGGTTTATAAGGCATGAGGAATTGATAGGGTGAGCCCACAGTTGTTCTTTCAGGTCAAAAACCTTGGCACCTGCACTGAAGGGAAAACTCTGGACACTGTGCTAGCAGAGTTTCTGAGCCAAGGATCAAATATTGTGTCTCTGTATTATTGCTCTGCAGCAGTTTGCTGTAATTAAAGAAGTATTGTCTCTTAAACACCTTAAGCTTGTATCCAGAGCTGTGCTAAGGACAATTCTTGCCAAATTTAAACCAATAAAAATTGGAGATGCACCTACTTTATTTTTTTTTTTAAACTTGCTGTAACAAGTGGAGAAACTATCTAGATATGAGATCAACTCAAGTGAAAAGTTATATTCTCCATATCCTATTTAGAAGAAAATCTTGAAGAGGTTTAAAATACTTTTCTATCCTCTCCTTAAGCTAAGACTGTCTCACTTCTATGATTTTAAGCATTAACTACCAGGCATATTTTTAAAGGCAGGCTTAGGGTGATGCATATTTTACACTTTACATGATCAGTGTGGATCAGAGAGCATCATTTTCTAACACTGTCAAAATTGCTTTCTTCCCTTCTTCCTATTTTCCTATTAAAGGAAGAGAGAAATATTTCTTAGAAATGTAAGTCACTACAGTCCAGAGCAATCCATCATTTCCTGGAGAAGATAGATTTGTATTCTTCAACTTTTTTGCATGTCAGCCACATTATTTCAGTGTAGTGAGACTGGAATTTGGTCAGAAAAGCAGAGATACTCTGGATCAGAGGGATCTTTTCCCTTCTGTGCTGTCACTCTGCTTGCCCCAGTTAGGCCTTGCTGTGCAGGAAATTCAAAAAATGCCCTGCAAGAGTGAATTAACAGGTATTTAGATTCTGACAAGGGCATTGTTTATTGGTGGGGAAAAGGCAACTGAGATGTTTATTTCTGCTTTGGTTGCTTGAGGTTGAATTTCAGAATTTATGCAATTCCTGATGGCTTTAGCCTGTTGTTTGCTGTTTTATGTCATCAAAGGAAGTTTCACCATCCCTTCTCTCCCTATAACAGTATAATAGAATGCATTTCAGGCTCATCAGTCACGTTGTCATTGATGTTATCAGGAAAATTCATTCAGCTTGGGCTGCTCCATTACTCTCAGAAAAATACATGTATGTGACCTCTGATAAAACACATTGTTAGGTATCTGATGATGGTTTTTTATGCATGATTTCAGTAATTTGTGCTGCACTTGTTCTGCATTTGAAACCAAGAGGGCAAGGACAAGATGAATTAGGACAAATAAAGCTGTTCCCTCACTTTCAGAGTCACTTTTAGGCCCCCTGCTTTGCCCTTCCACTCTAGGAGAGGAGAGCAATGGTATTTTAAGTAGGAGCAGCACTGTAGTTAATTTAGAAATTTTCTAAATGTCTGCATTTTAATGGATATAATGGGGTAAATCTAGATTAAATGTTATAAAATTAATAGGATGCATTTTCAGAGTTCAGAATCAACTGCAGGATCTTCCCTTTAACAGTCCTGAAATTTGTTTTATAAATGTCAAAAGCAGTTTCTTCTTCCTTATTCAGAGGCTATTTTGGAACTGATTTTGAAATTTTGAAGGTCATGTCGTGGCCAGACAGTGCAGTAGCAGATATGGTTTATAATCCCTTAGTTTTATTCAAAGTCTTGCACATTTTGGGAAGTTCTAGTGAATAGGTGTCCTGGCCTTGCTAATAATTTCATTGGTGTTGGAAAAGCAATGTTTGCAGCTGGTTCAGCAGACCTGGTTTGCACTCTTAAAAGGTAAAATAAAGCCCTGTCCTCACAATACTTCACTGCTGCTAACACTGTAATGTGGTCCAGTTTCTGTGACTGTGCTCTAAATTTGAAACCTGTTTTTCTGAGCTGCAAATGCCTCGTGGTGAATTGTGTGACAGCCTGAGACTGAATCCTTACTTTAGTCTTGCCTAGGCAATCCCATGTGCATGTGTGAGCTTTGTGTTTACATAAATCTAAACCCATCAAGGATTTCTTCTCAGCTTTTTAATTTCTAAATATTATTGCCCCGATTTTTAAGTGTGGAATCCTAACCAAACTCATTGAGCTTTAACTCTGCTTTTACTGAAGGCACATTTTATGAACTTCCTAAATATCCAACACTTCCAGGGGGAATTAAATGTGGGAATTAAAGATGCTCAGCAGTGCTGAAAGGCAAGCTTATGCTTTTAATAGTCTGCAGATTTTTTCCTGGTATATATTTAAGGATAGAGTAAATACTTTCCTGTTGGAGCTGCAAGGTTTTTTCAAACAAATGTCTTAACAAAATGCTGGCAGAAGAATTTCAGTACCTGTCAAAGCCACAAGTAAACTCTTCTTTTTTTTTTTTTTTTTTTTTAATAGGCTAGCAGTGGCAGTTCAGAACTGCAAGAAATTATGAGAAGACGGCAAGAAAAAATCAGTGCAGCTGCCACAGATTCAGGTGTGGAGTCCTTTGATGAAGGAAGCAGCCACTAAATGTGTTTCCTCTTTTCTTTAATTCCATTGCCCATTAGCATTAAACCATCCAGCTTTGCTTTAGGAAGCAGTGAGGGGAAATGTCTTATTGTATTGTAAACGTAACAACCTCAAGAAAATTTACTGTAGTACCCACAGAAGCACCTGCTGCTGGCTCCTCATCAGGAAAAAAATGAACAGGTGAGAAATGCAGAGGAGATTCCTGGCAGGTGCAAATATTGGTACACCATGCATTTACACCCAGAGATGAGTCTTGGCTTGATGGAATGAACGTGATGGAGAAATTGGAGCACATCTTTGTTGGTGATTCATCTGAGGGAAGCTGAGCCAGCAATAAAAAAAGCATTTGAGCCCTTCAGTAATAATAAGATTGTGAATCCCATCTCTTGCTGCACTGTGCAGTTCTGTCTCTTTTGGCTCAGTTTTTCTTGTCAGGCATTTGGCTGCAGGATGTTTACTTAAGTTGTCGACTGCAGCAAATGTAGAGGAAATGTTGAGGGAATGAACAGCAGCCCAACATAGACTGAACCTTTCCTGCATCACTCCCAAGATGTTTTATTACTAATGATGCTGTTTATAGCAAAATAATATTCTGTACATTGATTTTATCCATATTTCACCCACCATGAACTATAATATTGCACAAGAAGGAGTAACTAGAAAATAGTAACACAACCCAGCTCAGAGAGGTGATGAGATTTGCTGTAGCCATGCAACAACTCACAGTACTTTTTTTTTTTTTTTTTTAATATAATTGCATTTTTTTGTCTGTAACTTAACCCATCAAAAAGAACAGTGTATAATCTCGATTTCTCTGTGTGTTGGTCCCAGATATCAGTTTTTCCTCATGCAAAAAGCCTTTGTAATTTCCTTTATAAATGTAATCTTTTGGAAAAAGTGGATTCCTGAAGGCAAAACAGGGGAAAAAAGAAAAGAGAAACATCCCTTCCAGAAAATGTTATTTTTGGAGATGCAATGATTTTTGTCACAAAATGTTCTGTTTCACATGGTCATGTGATTTTATATATAATATATGTATTATATATAATATATAATATCACTTAATTTAGACAAATTTAATCATCTAGTTTGATTAAGTTTCATAGTGCCTTTTTCACATGAATCAGCTTAAAGTCTGCAATAAACAGTATTTCTTGTCTGTTAAATTGTTGTATCTTTGTGGCTACAAAGACAGTATTGAAATAAGAAAGTAATCTTGATTTTTTTGCCATTAGTTTGCTTTTCCTCTGCGTACAAGGGAAAAAAAAATCTATTCATTTTTTCACAAATGAAAAATTAAAATCTTAATAAAGGTGTTAGTGCCATTTATTGTAAATGTCCTGGCAAATCCTATTTCTGTGTGGTTGGTTGTGTGTCCATGTATGTTTTTACATTTAATATATATTCTTTATGCCTGTCTGCATAAACATGGCCTTATTCAGAAATGGGTCAAGAAGAGATAAATCCCATGGCCTGAAGGGATAAGCAGAATCATTTTGGGGTTTGGTTGGTTGGTTTGTGTCTTTTTTTCACACTTTCTAAACTACTGATGAATTAACAACCAAGTACTCCTTGAGTTGATTTTGCCCTTTAACCTTGGCTGAACTAACCATTGTGATTTCTGTGTTACAGTCTGTCAAATCTGAATGGTGTTGAGACAAATATTTCCCTGTTTGCTGGAATTTTCCTTGGTGGTTTAAAGGACTCAGGGAACTTCACCCTTATGCTGCTGTGCAGTTCTTGAATTCTCATTTTGTTGGCAGTCGTAAGAAATCGAAAGGAGATCTCATTTGGGGTTCTTCAAATGAAAAGAAAATGTTTTCTTCAAAATAATCCATGGTTTTAACGACAACAGTAGTAAAATGCAGCTTTTCATTCAAAATGTTTTCTCTGGGATTTGAGCAGCGAGGCTTATTTTTTCAATACTAATGTTTTACAAGGATGTGATATGTCTTTGAGGAGGGAACAAAGCAGGTTTTAAAATGCCAAAACCAGTGCCTTATTAGACATTTGATAAGAGGGAGTAATTTACTATTTTGCTGCCATCAATCTGCCTTTTTAACTGGGTGGAGGGGAGGGTGTTTCAGCAGCCTGTGCTCACTCAGCAGCTCTGTTCTTTCAAAAATCAAATCTTCTAACAGCAGCAAGGCATTTCTTCCCTTTCTTCAGGCTGCTCATTTCCTTGGGACACCATGGGGAGAGCAAACCACTGTGAAACCTCACATTTATTTCAGGAAGAACATTTCTAGCCAATAGTGATGGGTGGAGCAGTTTACTGACCAAATTCAAATGTTGAACAGGGCTGTGCTCAGACAAATGGTGAGCTGTGAGATTTTGTACAAACTTTTATTGCTCCAAAGCATTGAATTGTATAAAAAAATTGGTTGTTTTTTTGTATTGAGTGGGGTTAGGAAATAAGTGCATATATCCATGACTGATGTGTGCAGAAATAAATGCTTTATGAAGCAGTAGATATATCATATCCAAAATAATAATGATAATCTGAAATGTGCAGAGCTCTCAGTGTTCATCAGTGCTTGTAAACTTCTAATATCAGAATTTTGATAATTTAAGGGAACAAAGAGAAGAATTCATGAATAATAGTAAGATAGTAAATAAATAGTAAGATGTAAATTCTTTCTAATTAGGAAACCTGTAAATCACAGAATTTTTATTTTAATGTGGGAGTGAAGGCATTTTGAGTTTTCAGGTCATAGACAGAAGCAAGCAATAGTGTGAATACCCTGTTCAAGCAGGATATTTCCTCTGATAAAGGAAACATGATTATGAATGGGAACACAACTTTCTGGCCAAATTACCCTTTCATAGCAGCCTAATTTTTCTACTGTGTCGAGTCTGGTGTCTAAAGGATTGGTTCTGATGCAATGAAAATATTTGAGGGAATACTTTTGAGATCAATCTCCCACCTCTACATAAAAGCACCGACATTATATATGAGAAGTGCAAATGAGAGGGAATCTGTTGGTTCTCTGTTTAAATATTTCAGAGACTCCAAATTTCTACTGCAGCTATGTCAACTTTTTGCTACTAAGTGCCTTTGGCTTGCCTTCATCTTTTTTTCAGTGTCTGAGTTGCTTAGGTTGCAGCTTTGGCCTCTAACAACTTCCTCAGTTTTCAGACCAAAATGAGTCTCAGGATGTGACTCTGTGCTTCTACTCCTTGGTAATATTTGCAGATTAAAAGGGGAGATGAGTGAAAACTGGGAGCTTTCCTAGGAGATTCCTGGTGCCTGTAACAACAGCAGCAAAATTTAACCCACCCTGCTCCCATCCATGGCAAGAGCACTAATAACATTATTCTATTTCTGGCTGGAACAACAGCCTTTGCCTGCCTCAATGAAATTACACTTTTGACACGAGCCCTTAAAAAGTTAGAAGTGGGAGGCAGGTGACTGTGACTGTGGTTAATGGAGGGAGGGAGGGAAGGGACATTTTAGAGCATAAGATGATGATGTTGATTATTTGACAGGGGAAATTTATCCTATTTATGTTTGGGAAGAAAAAAAACCCAAAATATTAAACTGAAATCAAGCACAATTAAGGCTTCCTGACCTGTTCTTAATCTTTTGCTGAGGTTTGAAGGAAAGAGTTCTGAAGACCCAGGGATGTCAGGGCTCACTGCACAGGATATTCTGATATTCTGAGAGAGGCCACACTTTCACACACACCTCTAAAAGCTTTTTACCTCTAAGTCATGTACTTAAGTTTCCTTATTTTTTACTTCCATGGCAGCACACACAAGGAGAAAAGCTGCTCTGGTTTCAGTTGGTGGTCACTGAGTGCACAGAGCTGCTTTTACAGACACCAGGGTCAGCAGATGCTGGGAGATCAATACAGATCAATGCAGCAGATCAATACAGAGCATCAATAGATCTCAAAAGATCTATTACTGAACCTGAAGCTTCAGCCAGCATTACAGCTGTGATGACCTGAGAGTTTTATTTTGACAGATTCTGGAAACAATATTAACATGAAGCATGAGTCCAAAACACTGTTCTATTGGGCTTACACTGAAGGTGTGTGATGAGGTAAATCCAAAATTATGTCGTGTCAATTCAGGCTAAAAGGCTCTGCAGAGTCTTCTGAACCACAGCATCTTCCAGACCCATTTATTGCTTTACTCATACCTTGAATGCTGGCAGAACATTGCCATTTCCACTGCCATCCCACGTCCACTTACACAGCTTTGCATACTCTGTGGAGTAGGAAAAGGCATTTTTCTGATGGAGTTTTCATTTTAAATGACTTTGTGATTAAGTAGCTATGAAAGGAAAGAAATACACACCTGCTACTGTGCAAACGGAATAGTTTTTGACACGCATTCAAAAACTGGCTAGTAAATTCAGGCTGCTCAGGCAGTGTCCTTTGCAACAATGTGAATTTGGCATCTTTGCAGCAGTTTTTTTACCCTGTCATGTTCAGCCAAGCTTCTGTTACAGCCAGCTCGCCCTGTGACATTTTGTGGGCACAATGAATGATTTATAAGTAACCTGCTTACTCTGCTCTGTGCTACAGAATAAGTGTTGATTCAATGGGCAATGGGCAGCAGGAGGGAGGAGACAGCAGAAGAGAAACAACATTTGTGGATTGTTTTTTTTCTCCCCCCAGCCAGTTCTCTAGAGGAACATGAACACATTTTCTGAGTAAACATGCAATGAAACTCTGAAATACAATTTTTTTTAAAAAAAAGCATAGAGGCAAGAACTAAATGGTCAAGTGCTCATTTATAATTCTGCTTTCTGTTCAGCCGAGGCCAGACAAGTCTTTGCTGTTCCTACTGGAATGGCAGGCACCCCAGTGAAATGAGGGAGAAATGTGCACCACAGAAGCCTTTCTTGTTAGCAGCTGGCTCCCTGAAACTGGAGAGAGAAACAAATCCCTTCTGCATCCATCCTGTGCTTGGAGAAACAGCACCCCTGCTCTAGGACTGGGATTAGTGGGAACAGGGGATGTAGTATTGGATGCCTGGAAAGAGAAGGGAGGGGAAATGCACATCACACCCATTTAGTAATCACAGGGACCTGCTTTATCTGGGAATTATGTTAGGTCTGTGCACTTTTGCACAATCTACGTGGGACAGTTTGAAGTTTTGCACTGTAACCAATAGCATGATGAAGTAATTATCAAAGTATGCACCTATTTACCTGCCAGTGGAAGGACCTGGGAAGAAAAAAGCAGAAGGAATATCAGCTGGAGGAGATTTCTCAGGCTCCTGAGAGCAGCTGAGTGGCTGCTCTACACTCTGGTGCCCTGCCAGCAGCCCCAGGAATGCAATAAAAAGTATCTACAGGTGTGTTTGCTGTTTTGCTGACAGTGACTTCTCCACAGGTAAGCAATCCAGTGTGTTTACTTCCAGTTCAAGTCTGCTTTGTTTACATTGAGTACCATTGCTGCTAACTTCCAATGAGGTGACACAAAGCAACAGGTTACAAAAATGCCATCAAACATCCATTCTGACAGCATCCATGTCACAATACACAATGATGTACTGGCATTATACAAAGACCAAAAAATAAAATAAAATAGATATATATATAGCTAATTATTTTGACTAGAACTGAAACAGACAGCAAAAAAAGAAAAGAGCCCCCCTCCCTGCCCCCAAAGGCCCTGCAGGAATCCCTACTGACATTTTGGCAGCATTGTAGCAACAAATTGATAATCAGCCCTTCACATGCCAAAACCTTGAATTCATAACATTGTAAATTCCTGGTTCAGGAAAAATAGTTACGTCTATTAAAGCACTTTTTGTGTTTTTTTTTTTTTTCTTTCCACCCCTCCAACCTGAACCAGCTTCACATTTTTACACAGGGTTAATAATTACTAAAAATAATAAATGAGTGAGGGGTATAGGCACCGTAGACTGCTCAGACAGTTAAATGCTATAGTAAATATGCTAAGATATCCCAGCTTGGAACTCAGCTGCCCTGTGATTGGATCCATCTAAAACAAGAGCCTGATCAGTGGCATTACTGAAAAAAGGTTGGCAAGAAGAGCAATCCCTCTGCTTTATTAATGGCAGCCCAGAGTCAAGAACCAAACCCACCCCTTGTCCCAGCTGCCTGTCTCAGCTCTGGAAATTCTGCTTGTCAGTCCATTCCTCGGGTCTTGTGCTCCCCCCAGGCCCCACTACATCAGTGCTGTAA